ATCGACTGGGTTCATCGGCTGGGTTGAGCTCGCTAGCGACCCACCGCACACTTGCGCGCGGAAAAATGGCCAAAGACAGCGCGGCCCACTTTCTAAGCAAGAAGAGTACAGGAGCCGATACCGCACGCCACTTCACAGAGAAACAAATGACGCTGACAATGATGGACTTTATGTCTGCACTTTCTCCTCCACCCAAACAACACTGCACGCAACTCTTTGAAATTCATCGCCTCCTTCGAAAGGAAGAGTCAATGGCAACCTGCGCGCACATGTCCTGCTCCACCAGCCTTCCAAGGTCTGATGCATGGAGAGCTTGATGCTACTCGAGTTCTGATTCGAGACGTCCTCGGGGGCCCCTTCCGAAGCACGACGCCCAAGAAGACCGCCATGAGCAAAGCCAGACCAATGACCATCACGCAATGGATCGCGAAGCTGACGTTGAGAAAGAGAAGCGGGGAATTCCACGTCTCCGTCGGCATCCGTCTCAAGCGCGAGCTCCCGCGGCCTCCGCGCCTGCTCGATTCGGAACCGCCAGCGCTCACTCCAGCGGCCCACCTATGCCGGCTCCTGCAGGGCGTAGCCCCTGAGCGTTGCGTCCGAGCAGGTCACCAAGCTTGACCAAGGCGGGTCGAACTGCACGGCCAGCAGCGACAACAGGCCCGCGGCGTTGACGAACTCCTGCCTCACCGATGGCCACAGCGGCACCAGGTGCCGGCAGTGCTTGCGAGCACGGTCGCACACCGACCTGAAGACGCCCAGCGACGGCCTGTTCAGCAACATGGCGCGGGCGAAATGCCCGACCATCTTCTCCACCTCCCGACCGGCCACCCTGCGCCGCGGCAGGAACGCTCTCGCCCCTTGCAGGAGGCGCCGGCGCTTCCCTTGCGCCAGCCTCGCTCTGACCTTGATGCCATCCAGCTCCAACCCGAGCGCCCCCGCCAAATTCTCGCCCTCCTCGACCTCGTGCAGGGGCGGGCCCACGCCCGCCATCACCTTGGCGGCCTGCCCCCGCCGCTCTCGCGGCGCCTGCCCTGGTCGAGACGAAGATCTCGCCGGCCGCGCACGCCACCCTGGGCACCAGCATGGCCGCCACATCAGGCGCGAGCTGGCGACCCACCAGCTCGCTCTCGGTGCCTCCAAGCCCCCCACGACGAAGAAGCTCACGATGCGCTTGCTGGGCTCAGCGCATGGCCCTCGAGAAGCCCATCGGCGGCACCTCCAAGCAAGGGTGGACACAAGCCCCTGGCGCCACCTGCTGCTCCCCGATGGCGTTCACCCCAAGCTCGCCAGCCCGCAACGGTCGCATGCCGAACCGCGGGATCATGTACTCGGGCACCCTGAACTGATAGGAGCACTCTGCGATTTCCTGAATCGAGAACTCGAGCACGTCGCCTGGCTCCGCCCCCAAGCCCACCACCGCCGTGGTGGACGCCAAGTGAATCGTAGCTGGGCGTCGCAAGGGCCTGGTTCACCGGCCTCGCGGTTCACCAGCCTCGCGTCTACAATAAGTAGCAATCGCCCCGACTTCTTCTTCTTCACGCAACAAATTCCCATTTCAAAATCTCGACGAGGACGCAACTCGACAATGTCCCGCCTGAGCAGGTCCTGAACGAAGCAAACGTACTCATCCCTGTTCTCGCGCAAAGTCATAGCCCAATAGACCTTCGCAGGCTGCGGGCGGACATCATCCGCGCGAAGTAGCAGCGAATGTTCACCGTTGAGCACCTCCTGGTAGTCTGGCCCCGGCAGCACCTCCAGCAAGTCAACGCAGCCCGCCGACTCGGGCCACGAAACCAGACCACGTTCAAACGGCGCAACCACAGTAGAGCCCTCTGGGCCGTAGCCCAAAGTCTCGGCGCCGAGCAACTCCGTCAGGGCTGCCTCAGGGCTGGGAACATTGCTCGGCGGGACATCGTCTGAGACGGCCCGCCAAATCATATCCACAGCGGAAAACTGCGCTTTCGCCTTCGCGCAAAAGTCGCCCTCCCCGCGCATAACGTCCAGGGCGGCGATGCAGTCGTTCACACGGCGGCCCACAACAGACTCGCGACCGCTTCGCTAGGCAGCCCAACGAGGCATGCACCTCCTAGCCGGAGGCAGCGGCACCAAGGGAAGAGGAAGAAGACCCCTGGGCACCACTCGCTCCATCGGCCTGATGGTTCCAGCTGGGGTCGGCCAAGCCCCAGCCTCGCTCAGCACCATGACTTCTTCGGAGGAGCACGCGCCAACGCACGCTCCTCCGCCGCCTTGCGCCCCTCCTTCAAGATGGCCGAATCGCGGGCCGCCGACTCGGCCACCCACTTCAGCCGCGTGCGCCCCAGGTAGTAGTCCTGCGCGTCAAAGTCCTTCCCCGTCTCCTTTCTCTCCTTGACCTTGTTGTTCGATGAAATGCATGTGCCTAGCGAGCGCCTCGAGAGACGCTAAGTTGGCCACGTCAATTTGGTCGTACGTGCAAGCCAGCACGAGGATCTCCGGCAACATCTCGTGAGCCACCACCGCGTGCTCGTCATCATTCAGCTTGTTCTCATGCTTCCAGGTGATGTGACGCTGCACCGGGCCGCCGCTTATCTTGGCGATCTCCCCCGCAACATACAGTGTGGTGCGAGGCCATGACAGCGCCCAGTCCTCGAAGTCGCCGAGGCAAGCACTCTCCGCAACGCTCCCCATGGTCCTGAACCTCCGACACGCCGAGTCCCTCAGGATGGACAGAATCCGTGCATCCTCCGCGGCCGCGGGCGGGGTCCTGGTGCCACCAACTGCGTCTCCGCCTCCACCCCGCACTCTGAAGCTGCGCAGCGCCTCCTGTGCCTCCTGGCCCGGATCCAGGCGCATCGTGATCGCCGACTTCTCCTTGCGACCCAAGTCGTAGACGCCGTAGCTCCCGATGGCCATGAAGACCTCCGAGGGCGTGTCCAACCGATCTGGCAGAAAACCGCGCCCAGCTTCACCGCCGCCGTCTCCACCACGCAGCACCAGTCCACACGCCTCGCGCGTGCCAGCTCCTCGTCGGCCGCACCCGGCGGCGGCGGCAGAGGAGGCCCGACCGCCGGCTCGACCTCGGGACCCGGTTCGATCGCCGCCCGGCCGAGGTCCTCGCGCAGCTGCGCCGCCAGCTCCTCCGCCGAATTCGTCAACGCTGCGAGCTCAGCGCCCACCACGCGATTGGCGAAGCGGTACACCGGCTGCCCGCGTGCCGCCCAGAGCCCTGGCGGCAACCCGCCGCGAGGCCTGGCCTGCTGGAAATCCGCCACGCGCTCGGTGTCGTAGGTCTCCTCGTAGACGTCCCTGTCCGGCCTCACAATCACGCACGTGGCGCCCGACACCACTGCGAGCACCAGCCACTCATGTCAGGGTCCCCCCTCCTCGCCGTAGTCGACGAAGAGCGTGTCCCCGGCCTGCACGTTGAGCGCCCTGCGCACGACCCTCCGCTTCGGCGCCATGGCCCTGCGGCGAGAGCTGCACCTCCTTGCCAGTGGCCTTCGCCCCGAAGCCCCAGAAGAGCACACGAATCGAGATCACGCACCCGCACTCAGTGGCCTGCGCCGCTAGCACCGCCGCCGCCCCGAGCACGAAACTGATGGCCGACGCGACCACTTGAGAGCCCAGCGGCACAGGTCACAGGGGCACCCAACACGTGCGTCCGCGAGAGACACGCGTCAGCAGAAGTAGATATGGCCAGTGCACACGGCGAGACAGTGGAATCGAAGAACTCTGCGGCTGGGGGAGCGGGAGCGGCCTTCGGAAAGTAGGAGCCCCAGCCGAAATCTCCCATCCGCCACCAAAAGAACGACCGCTTCAGCCGCGACAGCAGCGGCCAGGCGAAGACAAATGAGCATTGCATGCTTCACTCCACTAGCTACACTCTGCTCCGACCGTTCCGCAACGCTGCCACAGGAGGAGGAGGAGGAGGTGGAGGAGGACGGGTCGCCTAAGCCCTTCGGAGAAACCCTCCACCCAGCACGGCGGGCCGCTGCTGATGCCGCGAGCGCCGCGGGCGCCTCCGTCGCACGCGCAGCCCGCCGCCTCGCCCTCCGCGCCCCGCTCGCCGCTCTACCCGGTGGCGGGACAGGCCATCTTACTCTACGGCTCCAACAAGCTGAGGGCGGGGTGGGTCTGGCCCTTCGTCCCCTGGACGGGGGCCGATGGGAAACCAGCATCGGTGGCTTTTCCGAGGTGCGCGAGCGCTTGCTCCGCAACACCGCCCACGGCTTCCTTCCCCAAACCCCCATTCTCCCTTCCCTCCTCTACGCTCCTCCTTCCCCCCCTTCCCTTTGCGACCCCCCCCCGCCTCCTTGCCACTCAGGGGCAGGAAGAGGACGAGTAATTGTACATTGGCGCGCCGCCACTGTGCGTAGGACACGGCAGGCGGCGAATCCTCGAAGCCCCCTAAGATTGTCTCTCGCTTGCGAGGCCCAGCCTTCGAGGGACCGGGCCCGCACGCAGGACAGCAGCCCGCTGCTGAACACCCGATTTAGGGAGACAGTGCATGCTACCCCTTCCTGGATGGGGAGGCTGGCTCAAACGCCCCATTGGGTTAGGTCGGGCGTGTCCCCCTACAGGCAGATGTTGGACGAAATGCAAAATAGACAAACAAATCTCGGAAAAGACTCGAAAATACTCGAGGGACAGTCCCCGGACTATTTTTGATACCATTTTTGAACATTCCCCCTGTAGAGGGACATGCCCGATTTAACCATTGGGCGGGGCCCTGAGTGGAGATGAGGCAATTTGAAACAAGTAGGAGGCGGACGTGAAGGCCAGGGAGAGGGAGGAGAACGAGGAGGGCGGAGGTATGGAGGGGTGCCGGTGCGCCCAGGGCCCAGCGCGTGTGCCTGCTGGCCTCTCTTCGTGCCCTCGCCTGTTTAAAGACATTCAGCGCGTTCCACAAGAGGGGTCACCAATGATTCGCAGGGTGCCTCTGACAACATCGCGTATTTCTCCTCCTCCTCCTCCTCCTTCTCCTCCTCCTTCATTGCCGTCCTCTCGTTGCTCGGCCCCACCTTGCCAGGAACGCCGAGAGGAAACGGGTACTCGCCATCCTTTGTCACGATGGTCTTGCCATCCTCAGGCTGAAAACCAAAAATCAGCACAACAGGTGGGCACAACACATGTAACACCTCGACCCTGATTTTCGTAGGTGCAGCGACTGTCTCTGGCAGCTGAGCCTCATCAAGAACTTCACGACTCCGACATCATCACGCAAGACGGGTCCCTGCAGCCCGAGATTCGGCCAAACCCCACGCGCTCCAGGCAATTGCTACGAAGACGTACAGTGGCCGCCGCGGGGAAGACGTCGGCCCACCACGAGGTCATCGCCTTGACCATCATTCGACCACGGCGCTCAAATCAAAACGCGGCCAGAGCTGGAACGCCCACTGCCCCCTGCCGTCGGCGCCAGGTCCCTCCAGCACTGCCGAAGCATCGCGGCCTGCGCGATGCGGCTGACCACCCACCCTGGTAGAGGGGGGCGATGGATACTCTGACGCCCTGTGCGGGAGGGGCAAGGGGGGAGGTTGAGATGGAGAGGGAAAAGGGAACAGGAAGGGAGGGAGGGAGGGAGGGGGGCCTGGGCAAGGGGGACAGGCAGAAAGGAGAAGGGGGAGAAGTCGGCCTTGGGCCGTACCCCACCTCCGTGAGGCAATTACCATGCTGGCGCAGGGCTCCGCGGGGCATCGTTCTCCCCTCCTTCTCCTTTCCTCCCCCGAGCACTGTCCCTCTCCTTTTCATTTTCATCCTCAGTACCCTCCTCCTCCTCCTCCTCCTCCTCCTCCTCCTCCTCCTCCTCCTCCTCCTCCTCCTCCTCTTCTTCCTTATCTTCAAACCTCATCCTCCTTATCGTCGTCATCATCAGCAGCAGCACCCTCATCCTCATCCTCATCCTCATCCTCATCATCATCATCATCATCATCATCATCATCATCATCATCATCATCACCATCATCATCATCATCATCATCATCATCATCATCGTCGTCGTCGTCATCATCATCATCATCATCATCACCAGCAGCATCAGCATCAGCCATCCTCACCATCGTCAGCAGCAGCATCATCAGCATCATGATCATGATCATGATCATGATCATGATCATCATCATCATCATCATCATCAGCAGCAGCATCATCATCATCATCATCATAGTCACCGTCAGCATCAGCAGCAGCATCACCATCATCATCATCGTCATCACCAGCAGCAGCAGCATCAGCATCAGCATCAGCATCAGCAGCATCATCACTATCATCACCATCATCATAATAATCAGCATCAGCATCATCATCGTCGTCATCCGCATCAGCATCAATATCATAATCTTCATCATCATCTCAGCATCATCATCATCATCATCATCATCATCACCATCACCATCATCACCATCACCATCACTGTCATCATCATCAGCAGCATCATCATGATCATCTCCTCATCCTCATCCTCATCCTCCTCACAACCACCACCACCACCAACAGCACCACTGTCGTCATCATCATCATCATCATCATCATCATCATCATCATCATCCTCATCAACACCATCAGCCGTAGCATCATCAGCATCATCATCACCATCATCATCAACAGCAGCAACAGAAACACCACCACCACCACAACCACCACAACCACCCCAAAGACCACCATCATCATCATCATCGTCATCATCAGCATCATCATCGTCATAATCATTATCAGCATCAGCATCGGCATCATCATCATCATCATCATCATCATCATCATCATCATCATCATCATCGTCATCATCGTCATCATCATCATTGTCGTCATCAGCATCATCACCACCACCACTACCATCACCACCACCACCATCACCACAACCATCAGAATAGTAAAAATAAATCATCATCATCATCATCACCAGAATCATCATCAGCATCAGCAGCATCATCCTTCTCATCATCATCATCATCATCATCATCATCATCATGATCATCATCATCATCATCATCATCATCAGCATCATCATCATCATTACCATGATCATCGTCATCATCATCAGAATCCATATCATAATCATCATCGGTATCATTATCATCTGCGTCCTCCACCTCCGCCTCCTCACCTTCATTTCTCGCACCTCCTAATCGTACTCCTCCCCCTCATGCTCCCGCTCCACACCTCACCCTCGACCAGCGCCGCCCCACCCCGCCGGTCTGCACGCGGCCGAGGAGAGCCTCCCGGCTTCTCGGACCACGGAGACGCCCGCACATCAGCCCCCGGTCATGTGTGTAGGTACGGCGGGCTTGTGTCGTGACGACGTTGGCGTTGGTTTCTTGCACAGTGTGGATCGTTCAATCTTGAACGATCGCGGCTTTCCGGTAGCGTGAATCGCTCGATGCCAGCCGATTCTAGGCCGCTGGCGACGTTAACCATTGAACGCCCCGCGCTGGGGTCGCCGCCGCGTCGACGCGGCACGAACCTACCGTAGGTTTTGGCGGGTGTGACGTCGGCATGAGTCGATGTGGGTTGGTGTGCAGGTGGGCGGGCTCGCGCCATTGTGTACAATCCCCTGCTGCTGACACTGCTGGTGCCGTTGCTGCTATTTCGGGTCTCTACAACTCCCGCTGATGGTACGGCGACGGGCTGCCGCGGGCCGAATAATAAGTGAATGACTGCGAGAGCGGCGGAAAGCGCACGAGAGCAGTGGCGACATCCAAACGACACCAAAAATGTGTTGTTTCGGCGCAGCCCCATGTCCCACCACGGCAGCATCAAGCACAACCACCTGCCTCCCATATTCCCACGTGCCTTCCAGTCTTTCCCCATCCGTCCAAAGGACGCATCCCCCCTAGAGAGAGCCGCCATGGGACATCAAACCCCCTGTCCATGGAGATGTTCAGCTGCAACGGCGTGGTGGTCTTGCTGTTCTTCGAGATGTCGAAGGCTACACCGCCCTGCTTGCCCTTGCCCAAGGTCCAGTTGCCAGAACAGTGCGTGGTAAGCTGGGCAGTGCCAGAAGGCAGGGCAGGAAAGCGAAGGGCAAGAGGCTTGACACAGTATCCTGCTCCCCTCAGCATCCATTTTGGCAAAGGGCCAGGGCACACGCTTCATGCCATGGCACAAGGCGTGCAACCTTTGAACAAACAGAATACAGCAGACTCACCATGCCCACCCCAGGCAAGATGGGCTGCATGCGATTCGACCACGATCAAGGATGGAGACTTTAACGAGAACGGCATACCAACGAGCGGCAGTGCATTGAAGTTTCAGCTAGGCTGAGACTTCAGCCCACACTTGCACTACACCTAAAAGATACAACGTTCCATTGCTCAAGACACGCGAGGACGAGCTGAGTTATTGTACGACGACTTGGGATGAGGTGCGCCCAACTAAACCTAACAGTCTGGAGCGGCAGAAACTGATAAAGCAACGCGGCATAGGGATAAGCTGAGCTAAGCACCTGATAATCTAAACACGCCGAGCAAAGCACCACCAAGATGAGCTAGCCGAAACAACTCCGAACAACGCTAAGCTAGAATCCGCCGACCCTGTCGGCGTGTGTGATGGGCTTGTCCGTTCGAGTCGTCCTCTTCGTCATTCGTTAGTCGCCGTTTCTGCTGGCTCCTTTCCTTGCGGCCCCCATTACCCTGGGCCCGTCGCAGCTCCCCGCCTTTTCATGGGCCCTCCTCCCCAAGCGCGCCAGCCAAAGCGAAATTGAGAAACGTCATGAGTCAATCGTAGGGAATCCCCCTCCCTTTGATCCCTCCCTCGTCTGGGGGGGTCTCCAGGGGGTGTCCCGGGGGGGGTCCCGGGGGGGTCGCCAACCAAAAACACCTCCCTCCCGGGGGGTCCTGCGTCCAAAAAAAACCCAGGACGGGCCAAGAGTGCCCGAAGAGGCCCCTAAGACGGTCCAACAGGCCCCCCATCCCTGAACGATCTGTCCAAGACGCCTCCAAGGTATCCTGAAGGCCCATGAGGCCTGCAAAACGCCCCTAGAGCCTCCAGGAGCACTCCCAAGAAGGCCCCAAGAGACAACATTCATTAGTGTCCCTTGGGTTTGGGGAGGATTTGCGCGCTCGCCTCTTCCGCTTCCCGACGCTCCCAGACGGCCCAAGAGGCCCCCAAGATCGCCCCAAGACGGCCCAAAGTGACGACCCCAAGACGGCCCGAGACGCCTCCCAGACAGGCCAAGAGGCACCCAAGACCGCTCCGAGAGGGTGCCCAGACGTGGGACCCGAACGGACATTCCGAACCTTCGCCCCCAAGAAGCTCTCAGGAGGCCCCAAGAGGCCTCGAAAACGCCCCCAAGAAGCCCCCAGGAAGCCTTTGGAGGCCCCCAAGAGGCTCCCAAGAGGCCCCCCAAGAGTCTCCCCAAACGTTTCAAAACTGCCCACCGGAGGCCCCCGAAAGCGCTCCGAAGAGGAGACCCCGACAAGCATCCCCTCCTCCCCCTGCTCCTAACCCTCCTCCTGTTCATCCGCCTCGTATTAATCGTCCGCCACCTGCTCATTGCCCTTCTCGACCTCCTTCTGCCCCAACTCCCCCTCCTCATCCTCCTCCGCATGCTCTTCCTCGTCCTCCCCCTCCTGCTACACGGCGTCCTCCTCCTCCTCCTCCTCCTCCTCCTCCTCCTCCTCCTCCTCCTCCTCACCCTCCTCCTCCTCCTTCTCCCCTTCCTTCGCATCCTCCTCCTCCTCATCATCCTCAGCCTCCTGATCATCCTCCTCATCATGCTCCCCCCCTCCCCCGCGTACTTTTCCCCCTGCGCTCCGTAACATTACCTCGACCTCGTCCTTCCTATCCTCCTCATCATCATCCTCCCCCTCCGCGTCTGTATTATTATCCTGCTCCTCCGACTCCAATTATAGTCGTCCTCCTACTGCTCCTTCCCCCCCGTCCTCCCCCTGCCCCTGCTCTCCCTCCTCATCCTCTTCCGCATCCTCCTCCTCCCCCTCCTGCTGCTCAACCGCGTCCTCCGCCTTCTCCTCCTCCTCCTCCTCCTCCCTCCTCCTCCTCCCACTCCCCCTCCTCCTCCTCCTCCTCCTCCTCCTCCTCCTCCTCCTCCTCCTCCTCCTCCTCCTCCCCCTCCTCCTCCTCCTGCTCCTCATGCTCTTCCTCCTCCTCCTCCTCGTCCTGCGCGTCGTCGTCTTCAGGATCGGTGGCCTCAGCCATAAGGCCTTCACAATCCCTGGCCACAAAAGCGCAAGTTGAAAATCAAGCAGCTGCAGCCTTCAGCGACAGCCAAATAGACATCGAAAGTGGAGCAAGAGGACATGGTACAGCCGACGCTAGAGCAGAAGCTGCAGATAAAGCGACAGCTGCAGATAGGCCCAGGCAAGCCGAGCTGGGATGCCATGCTCAGCTAATCCTATGTGACCCCAAACATCCTGAGCAAAGCTACGCTCCGCTGGCATATGATCCGTCCGGTCCCCTTCGGGAGGGCGCAAGGCTGCGAGGTATGATGCTGGACTGCTGTGTTGCGTTCTGTGTGATACCGTTTACCTTGTCTCTTGTGTCTCCAGTCCTTTACCCATGCTACTGTCCATCAGGAAGCCTGGATCGCAACAACAGCAAAAAGCAAGAGGGGATCCATGGCCCAAGAGCCAAGAGGCCTGGAAGACGCCACAAGGAGGCTCTGAAGAAAGCTTTGAAGGCACAATACGGCAGAAGATGGCCCCACGATGCCTCCAAGATGGCCCGGGAGGGCCTCCTCAGGGCAGAAAACGCTGAAAGTCCAAACTGCCCTCTGTCTTGCATGTCCCACGTTTTGGTCCAACGATGTCGCAATATCACTTCGATGCGACCCCTAGGGCCCCGACATTGCCCAAGCCAGCCCCGACGCGGCCCCCAAAGGCTCCAAGTTGCCTCGCAAATCGCCCAGGATTACCCCGCAAGGCTCCCAGATGGCCCCGAGACGCGGGCTCGGCCCCGGAGGACTCAAGCTAGCCCCGAGATTACCCAAGATGGCCCGATGATGGCCCTAAACGCCCAAAAATGCCGCCATGGGGGCCCCAATATGGCAACGAGATGGCTCAGCCCAGGGGGCCGGCGGCTGAGGGCACAGCCCTCCTCCTCCTCCTCCTCCTCCTCCTCCTCCTCCTCCTCCTCCTCCTCCTCCTCCTCCTCCTCCTCCTCCTCCCTCTCCTCCTGCTTCTCCTCCCTCCTCCTCCTCCTCCTCCTCCTCCTCCTCCTCCTCCTCCTCCTCCTCCTCCTCCTCCTCCTCCTCCTCCTCCTCCTCCTCCTCTCCTTCCTTTTCGCCTCCTGGGAATCCGTTCGTCTGCTCGGGCTTTCAGCTCGCATGGGAGCGTAAACTGATCATCAGCAGCAGCAGAATCCGCCGACCCCTTGGGGATCATCGGCGTGTGAGATGCTTCCCCCTCCCCAAACCCCTCCCCCGGGAGCCCGGTCCGGTCGATTTGGAGGGGGGGGGGGGGGGTCCGGGACGAGCGCTCCACGGGGCTTTTCCTGGCCCAAGAGGGCTTCAAGACGGGCCACGAAGCCCCCAAGAGGCCTCCAAGACGGCCCACGAAGGCTCCGAGAAGCCAAACGACCGCTCCAAGACGCCCACGATGGCCCCAAGACGGGCCAAGAGGTCTCCAAGACGGCCCCTGAGGTCCCAAATGAGCCTCCCAAGAGGGCCCAAAGAGTCAAACATTGCTGATTTTCCAGAGTGTTTTTCTATGTTTTTTGCTTTTCCGCCTTTCCGGCTTCCCGACGCTCCAAGACGGGCAAAGAGGCCCCAAAGATAGCCCCAAGATGGCCCAAGAGGCCCCCAAGACGGCCTCCAGACGGCCCAAGACGGCCCCAAGACGGCCCAAGAGGTCCCCAAGACGGCCCAAGAGGGCCGATTTGGAGGGGGGGAGGGGGCCGGGACGAGCGCAGCACGGCCGGGACGAGCGGTTCCAGGGCTTTTCCGGGCCCAAGAGGGCCTCAAGACGGGCCAAGAAGGCTCCAAGAGGCCTCCAAGACGGCCCACGAAGGCTCCGAGACGCCAAACGACCCCTCCAAGACGCCCAAGATGGCCCCAAGACGGGCCAAGAGGTCTCCAAGGCGGCCCCCGAGGTCCCATACAAGTCTCCCAAGAAGGCCCCAAGAGTCTAAAATTGTTGATTTTCCATAGTGTTCTTCGACGTTTTTTGCTTTTCCGCCTTTCCGGCTTCCCAACGCTCCAAGACGCGCGACGAGGCCCCAAAGATAGCCCCAAGATGGCCCAAGAGGCCCCCAAGACGGCCTCCAGACGGCCCAGGACGGCCCCAAGACGGCCCAAGAGGTCCTCAAGACGGCCCAAGAGGGCCGATTTGGAGGCGGGGAGGGGGCCAGGACGAGCGCAGCACGGCCGGGACGAGCGGTTCCAGGGCTTTTCCGGGCCCAAGAGGGCCTCAAGACGGGCCAAGAAGGCTCCAAGAGGCCTCCAAGACGGCCCACGAAGGCTCCGAGACGCCAAACGACCCCTCCAAGACGCCCAAGATGGCCCCAAGACGGGCCAAGAGGTCTCCAAGACGGCCCCCGAGGTCCCAAACAAGCCTCCCAAGAGGGCCCCAAGAGTCTAAAATTGTTGATTTTCCATAGTGTTCTTCGACGTTTTTTGCTTTTCCGCCTTTCCGGCTTCCCAACGCTCCAAGACGCGCGACGAGGCCCCAAAGATAGCCCCAAGATGGCCCAAGAGGCCCCCAAGACGGCCTCCAGACGGCCCAGGACGGCCCAAAGACGGCCCAAGAGGTCCCCAAGACGGCCCAAGAGGGCTCCAAGACGGCACCACGAGGGGCCCAAGAGGGCGACCAAACATGTTGAAACTCTAGCTTTCTGCCCCCAGGAGCCCCAGGGGGCCCCAAGAGTGCCCCAAGAGGCCCCCAGAGGCCCTCACGAGGCCGCCCAGACGCCCCAAGGAACCCCCAAGAAGCACCCCAGAGGCTCCGAAACGGCCCCCGAGTGGCTCCAAAACTCGCAGTGTCGCTGTCCGCTCGGACCTCCCCGCGGAACTGCCCGAGACCCTCTGGCGGTGGCGGCGAACAGACACCAAACAAATATCACTCGCCTTTTCACCCCTTCGCAGCTTCTACTACCCCCAGATTGGCAT